ATAAAATGAAAAGGGCTTTTAGAATATTTTTATAGACAGCATTTCCTTTTACTGAGCGTCTTTTTTAAAACTAAATTTGCATTGATTTTTTTCCCCCCAGAAAAACAGGGCTAGGTACTTCTCATTCTATCTCAGCATGAAAGAGCTGCTGAAACCTTTTCATCATAGCTTACAAAGCTTCATTCTGTTATACACCAGATCACTATCAGTTGGAGCCTGACTTAAAACCAGCTACAGTGGGATGTGGTGGTGTAATTTTTTTTAAGATACCTGTTGTTATGTACTGTTCAGTCAGACAGACTCTTAGCAGACCTTCCAGCAGGTTTCCAGAACTGTAGATCACATAGGATTACTCATCTTTTTCCCAAGCAGCAGCAGGTGACTTTGAACTATGTGCCTCTGGATTGGCTACACAATTCCTTACTCTAGGCCAGTAGAGCTCCCTTAGGGGTACCAAGCCAGTCTAATCCACAACCAGGCTGAAAAAGAATGATTTCGTTTATTTGAGGAAGCACTTCTAGTTCTAACAGAGCTTTGGTGGCCTACTGGTAAAAATCTGTACTGCAATCCCAAAGGCATGCAGTATAAATCTACTAGCTACTGTATGGGAGAAGGACAGGCAATCTCCTCTCAGGAGATTTGTTATTGTTGTTCGGTGCCGTTGAGTCAAGTCGTCAGCGACTCATAGTGACCCTATGAATGAGAGTCCTTGGCACTTGCGTGACTTTCATCCGTTCTCCAGGTTCACAGGGTTTCCGGAAGCAAGCTATTTACGGACGTGGATGCCGCTCCTGCTTCCAAGCTTGTTTCAACCAGGGATCGCCACCAAACACTGTCCACCATGGGTAACCATTAATGCATTGGACACATCAGTGTCACAGTGTTCAGCTTCCACAAGTTACCTCTGTATGGCAAGTGGACACACCAGGGCTATATCACCTAGAAGAATGTCTGAACAAAAAAAACAATAAAAAAAGGGGCCTGAGGGTCGTAGATTAGAGTCACCCACCTTTGGCTTGGTAGCATCGCTTTTGGTCCACTAGGCCAACTGGTCTCTCTCTGTGTTGTTAAGTGCTGTCGAGTCGTCAGCGACTCATAGTGACCCTATGAACAAAAGTCCTCGACACCTGCATGCATGACTTTCATCCTTTCTCCAGATTCATAGGCTTTCCGGAGGCAAGCTGTTTATGGAAGTTGATGGCACTCCTGCTTCCAACTTGGGAGATTTACTGCCTCTGAAAACCTGTTAGAGGGTCAGCTACAAGCTGGTCTGACTCCATAGAAAACAACAACACAACCTTAAAACTTTATTCAAGGTGCTTTGTGTTTTGTTTCCTATGTTCATTTCAGCCTAGCAGAGTTGATGGGCTTTGCTTCCACTATTTATTGCCCACATACATAAGAAAAGCGAACAGTTTCACAAATTACCTAATCTTAAAAAGCAACAATTCCTACCTTAGGCAATTGATCCCTAAATTTTGCTAAGAAAAATTTGAAGAGGGAGAACTTAAACACTAATAAAGTCAGAGAGCCAAGTAATCTAATTTACCAGGAAATGAAAAGAAAAAAATTCAGATTCCAATCAAAGAAACTTTATTAGCCTTAGGAAGTTGGTAAGCTTTATCAGTGTGGCCTCCAGTCTGGAGTCAAATAAAAAGCAATTCTGTCAATAGCAGTAAGCAAACTTGACTCTTGAATTTGACAGCTTTTTTTATTTCCGATGAACCAAGAGTAGTCAATTAAATAATTTATGCAGCATCACCAATTTTGAAAGCAAAAAATATCAATTGCTGTTATTGTAGAGTTGTTTCTAATTGCCTACCTAGAGAAACTTATTAATTTTTATTCAGATTCATTAATCTGGTAGCAAAACAACTATGCTCAGGTACAAAATGACTGATGGCACTAAAGAAAGAATAGTTAACCATGCAAAACAATTCTGATATATCTCTATTAAGACCTTTCTCTTATAGCACTAATTGTCTGCAAATATACAATGCTGGGATCTTTGCATACAAACAGAACACTAGTCCACAAGTCTAGAAAACAATGAATAATGATTTACTTTATCACTATGCCACTATGTCACTATGGATCCTATATTGCACTATCTTAAATTTTCATGAAAGTTATCAAATAATCTGTATCTGACTTCTTCTTATTAAATGTTGTCGAGTTGAGCACAACTCATAGCAACCCTATGAACAAAAACTCTGAACCCTGTTCTGTCCTGCACTATCCTCACACTTCCTGACAAACAAGAGCCCAATGCAGCAGTCATTATGTCAATCCACCAGGTTGAGGGCCTTCCTCTACTTCGCAGACCCTCCACCCTTCCCAACATTAATGTCCCTCTCCAAGGAATAGCCAGCCCCTCCTGGCAACATGTCAAAAGTATGTGAGAAGACTCATCATTCTTGCCTCCAAAGAACACTCCAGTTGTACCCTCTCCCAGACATATCTGTTTGTTCTCTTGGCTGCCCATGGGATGTTCAGCGCTCTTCTACGACACCGCAGCTCAAAAGCATCAATTCTTCTTCTATCATCCTTATTCACTGTCCAGCTCTCGGATGCACAGCTAGTAATCGCAAAGAGTATGGCCTGAATCAGACAGATGCACCTTAGTCCTTAAACTGACATCACTACTCCTCAATAATTTGGAAAGGTTTCTAACTGCAGATTTTCCCAGTTGAATGAGTCTCCACATTTCCTGAATGCTCATAACAAGGGGGTTAATTGTGGAGTCAAGCAAGAAGAAGCTGTTGACAGTTTCAGTTTCCTCTCCATCCATCATGACACTGCCTACTGGTCCAGTGGTAAAAATCTTTGTTTTCCTGATATTTAGACACAATCCACACTGAAAGCTGCATTCCTCGATCTTCTGGAACAAGTGTTTCAAGTCATCCTCACTTTCAGCAACCAAGGTTACAATAAAATAATTTAGCCATGGAAAAACATTTAAGAATCATTGTATTCACATTTATCAATATAAAATATCTGCTCTAGTGACCTAGTGTTCAGTAGTTGTGCTGCCAATCCAAAGGCAGGCAGTTCAAGCTCACCGGCTGCTGCATGGGGGGAAATCATCAATCTCCTCCAGAGCAAGTTAAAGTCTCTGAAAGCCCACTAAGTTAGCTATGAATCAGTTCCAACTTGAAAGCATATAACAACAACAGCAGCAGGTCATAAAAGAGTCTAAAAAGTAATTGTAATTCTACCATGTAGTCTCTATTTTATCTTGGTTGTATTACAGCAGGACGTGGGGGAAGAATGTGCATGAAAAGTGCAAGGTGGGAGGATACTCAAATATATATGTCTGAATCAAGTTAGCATCTCCAGAACCAGAACTTGGTTTGTATATGTGTTTTGAGCATTTTAAGAGGAAGATCAGAAAACAAGGGTATTCTATCATTGTGAACTCTTTCACTTTCTATGAAATGGTATTTAAAAAGGGGTCAGAGAAAGTCAACAGGTGAGCTTTGAGTGCATATGTCAGCCTCTGATAAAGAACCTGGAAAACTGGCTTTTGTATTCTATATCAGCTAAAATGTCACACTTATTAAAATGTAATGTCTAGATTCAGGCCAAAATAACTACTAGAAGGGAACTCTGGTGGCTTAGACATAAGTAGATACTGTGCCAACTCAAAGGTCCACAGTTAAAATCCACTGGCTGCTCTTCAGGAAAAGATGGGTAATCTCCACCTGTGTGATTTACTGCTTCTGAAAACCCACCGGCGGGTTGGTTATGAGTTGGTTCCGACTCAACTGTACACAACAACAGACATATAGACAATAGACATACAGAAAAAGAGGCGTAAAATAAAATATCCTGAGATTGCATCCTGTAAGAAATGAAAATTACTTGTAAACAAAACTACACTACTCTACTGAACCCATCATTATACATATATTTTCAGTGTCCAGGTAAATACAAGAGTACAATTATCATTCACAATGTATACCTCTTAGCAGGTAATAAAATTTAACAGTATGAATTACTTCAATGTTGGCTCTAGTTCAATGTAAACATGGAAAGTATGAAGTCTTTAACTACTGCAAAGACTCAATTTTAGCTAATTTTTTTACATTTACATCAGTGACTAATCTAAATTCCTAGTAAGATTCAAAACTTACAAAAAGTCTCTTTATGTACTACCAGATGAGCATACGAAAAGAAAAAGTAGAGAAAAAGAAACTTTAAAAATTTAGAAGAAAGCATACTCGAGTCATATTGTGTGTGTGTATATATATACACACACACATATAGATATAATAACAGAAAAAGTTAAATAGAAAAACACACACTTAACCCTAAAATATCTTAAGTATAATAAAGGAGATGAAGCTCCCTATAAAATAAAGTTCCATTCCCTAGAGTAGTTTTCAAGTCAATCAAAATGTCTTATCCAATGAGTCAAGAATCCCTTAAGTTCAAATCTGGACCTCTACATTTTCTAAGAAAAACTAAAGTCAATAAAATGTTGTGTAGTGTAATTCAAAATCATCATCTCCTTCCAGGGCTTCTCTATAATACGCATCTGAGCAAGCCTAACAACAAAGGAGATCCAATCTGGCATAACCTGAAGTGACAATACTAACCACTTGCACTGCTAAAGGAAGAACTGGTTAAGCTTTGGCTGTCACTAAACTAGATTAATACATCTTCATTTTTACTTCTATGACAATCACATTTAAAAAAAAATCTAACTAGGCAGAGGATGAGAGAGCTCTGGTGGCAAAATCCATAGCAAGATAAACTGCAAATCCAAAAGTCATACATCTCCAGATCTCCAGTGGTTCAAATCTACCAGCCATTCTAAGGAAGAAAGGGGTACAGTCTCCTCCTATTATGATTCACAGCCTTGAAAACTCAAAGGAGGGTCACTATGAGTCATAATTCACCAATAGCTACCAGACTGATTTGAGGCAGAGGGTAACTAATTAGTAACTTATTAATAATTAGTAACTAGTAGCATGTTATAATTAAACACCAAGTACCTTAGCTGCTTCAGGAACTCAACATCGGAGTTGCTGTTAATAAGCTTGATGAATTCCTCATAAGAAGGAGCATAGGTGTAGGCTCTCTTATGATGTTCATTCATCTGTTCTCTGTACTCCAACTGGGCGAGGAGCATTTGGTTAATATAATCTGGATCACTTAGCAACTCCACTACTGGTTTCAGAACTGTGAGAAAAATAAAGTTAAAAAATCTTACTTTTTTTTTCATGTCACATTATAGAAACTACATTTTTAAATTCCTCAAATGGAGGAAATTACAAACAAGACAACGTTCACACAATATATACACGCACAATGCTGTCTAGGAATGTGGGATGCAACCAAACTATGGCTACACTTAAGTAGCTATTTTACAAAATAAATTCCATTTCAAAGGAGTAATGAAAAAAAAGGTGGTTAAAACCAAATGGCTGCACAGCTACCAAAATTAATGACACCATATTTTTTTCTTTTATTTAGAAGACTCTATACATTTGACCATTGCTATGAGTCATACTCAACCTGCTGGCACTAACAATATATTCTGACCAGTTTTTTCTTCCAGAGGTCAGAGTCAACAGTCCTGTGACTGACCAGCAGATTCTAAGGAAGGAGTTATCTGCAGGGAGATTCTTCCTGGAAGGGAGCATACAGACTGAAAGGGTATGGTGAGAGAAGATGACCCTGGTACACAGCTTTCTTGATTTTAAACCGTCAAGTATCCTCTCGCTCTGTTTGAACAACAATATACAGGCTCTACATAAGCAAGTTTAAGCTTAAGAATGTCCATTCTTCAAAATGTTAGTCAAAATTTATTATGATTCCCACAATCAAATGCCTTTACGCAGTCAACAAAACACAGGTAAACATCTTTCTTGCATTTCTAAGGCCTTCTGACATCAGCAATAATATCCTTCCTTTCACATTTTCTTCTGAATCAATCTCCAATCTGACAGTTGCCTGTTGATGTACTGTTCTAACAAGTCTGTATTTAATATTGTTGTTGTTGTTGTTATGTGCCGTTGAGTCATTTTCGACTCATAGCGACCCTATGTACAACAGCCCTAAACCCTGCTCTATCCTGTGCCAATCTCATTGTCTCTGACACACCCATCCTGATTACCCCAGTCACTGAATCAGTCCACCTCATAGAGGGTCTTCCCCTCCTGCGCTGACCCTCCACTCTGCCCAGCATGATGTCCCTCTCTAAAGACCTGTCTCTCCTTACAACGTGTCCAAAGTATGTCAGACGAAGCCCCAGAATGCTTGCCTCCAAGGAACAGCATGGTTTAACCTTCTCTAGGATGAATCTATTTGTTTTCTTGGCAGTCCATGGTACATTCAGTACTCTTCTCCAGCACCACAGTTCAAAGGCGTCAATTCTCCTTCTATCCTCCCTAGTCATTGTCCAACTCTCTGATGCATAACAAGTGATTGCAAAAACCATGGCCTGTATCAGGCGCACCTTAGTCTCCAGAGAGACACCGTTGCTCTTGAGTACTTTAGAGAGGTCCCTAACCACAGACTTTCCCATGGCAATACGTTTTCTGATTTCCTGGCTACTGGTGCTGAAGAATTTTTTTGCTGAAGAATTATCTTTATTATTAAAGTATTATTTTAATAATTGTTATTATATATTAAATATTTAAGTATTTAATACTTTAATAATAAAGATAATTCTTCAGCAAAATTCTATTTTTGTTTTCTATTAATTATATAGCTTGATAAATCCCTTATTTTGTTACATCACTTTTCATTGGACTGGAATTAAATAATGGATCTCTCCCATTAGGTGGTCAGGAAGCTGACTTAGTAATTTCTTAGTATAGATGAGTAAATACCTCCAGTGCTACACTACCTTGCTGAAATACTTCAATAGCATTCTATCTATTTCTAGAGCCTTGTTTTCCATCAACACCTCCATCAATGTAAATTGACTTCTCCCATCAAAGTAATTGATTCCTGATAACATGACAACTTACTGAAATGGTTCAATGGTACTTCAATATTACACATCAAGGCCTGATTTTTTTTTTTTGCTCTCATTCTTTGAAGCTATAAAATGCCAAATATATTCTTCCCTTTTGGTTTTCTAACTCCAGGTTTTTGCATATTTAATACTGTTTTTTGCCTTTTTTTCAGCCATCCTTTGAAATCTTTTCAGCTCTTTTACGTCATCATTTATTCTGTTTGCTTTAGCTACTCTATGTTAAGGAGTAAATTTCTAAGTCTCTTCTGACAATTATTTTCAGGTTTTCTTTCTTTCTTCTCTTTTGTTTAGTATTTCATGGAATCTGTCCTTGATGATGTCCTGGGTTATTCGGTGTTCAATATATCAGATCTATTCTTGAGGTAGTCTCAAAATTCAGTGGGAGGGACTTCAGGTTGTACTAGAGCACTATAGACTTGTTTCCATTTTCTTCAGTTACACTTTGAACTTCTATAAGGGCACCTGCTGATTCATTCCACCATGAGCCCCTAGTCTTGTTCTCACTAATGACGGTGAGTTTCTCCATTGTCTCTGTCCAAGTTCATTTGATTCCTGTGTGCTCCATCTGGTAAGGCTCATGTGTATAGCCACCACTTACACTGCTGGAAAAGGTATTTGCTATGAATATGTAGCTGGCTTTGCAAAATTCTATTAGATCACTGCAAGTAATTTCTACCATCAAGGACACATTTCTAACTATGAATCTTTCTGTTTTCCAACTTTTATATGCTTATCAGTATCTATCAATTTACATTAATGATGTTAGAACGTATTGCTTCTCATTTTGAGCATATCAGTCAATCAAAGTTCAGAAAACTTTATTCTATCCATGTCTTTAAAGTCAACTCTATTTTGAGATGGTTCAAAGTACAACTCTGTCATATTTTCAGTGTCTTCTAATATAAAAGGCTTATGTTAGCAGTGTATCAAATAATATTTTGCTGTTACTTATAAAGTTTTCAGTGTCTATGCCACTTGTCTGTCAAGTGTGCCATACTGTGGTGGCCTAAATGTTACTGTGATGCTAGGAGCTATGCCACCAGTGTTCCCAGTATCACTAAGATCAGCCATGGTGGATAAGTTTCAGCAGTACTTCCAGACTAAGACAAACATGGCAATCTATGCCTGAAAAAGAATGACCAGTGTAAACTTTACTGTAGCACAGTTCCTTTTTTTACTTATCTCAAGTTCACAAACTTATGCAAAGGCATTATCAATGAATCTTACAGAAAAGGCATATTAAATAATGGTACATCTTAGAATTTTAATGTATAATATTGTTTTTATTAATGCACGCAATATTGGCCCAAATAACTCAAAAGCTATCCCAAATGGATGCTTCCCTGTGGAGAGCATGAGGACTGATTTTCCTGTGTTAAAATAAACAGACTAGATTGTGCATTTGGCCATCTGTTACATAAAAATTTCAAGCTTGGCATGTATGACTAAATGATCCTCTCTTGAGGTGACATTTAAACTTAAAATGCGGAAAAAAACTTTCATTCCCACAAGGCCAATGTCATACAGTAAAGTCTGATCAGGGGTCAAATAAATTGTTATCACATTAGTTAGGAGCAGATTAGTTTGCACAATTATCACTGCATTAGTCATATCAAGTTTGTAAGTCTACCTTTGTTTGTGAGAATTTCTGCAAGCACTATGCGTAAGCTGTGAGACTGGACATCCTTTGAGGGGAGGAGACAAAACATCAGAACCTGAGAACATGTTTGGAGGAATCTTACTTCATCATCTGAGTTCCTAAGGCAAGAATGCAGCACAAAGGGCCTTGGTGGTTCTTCATGTCTAAAAATAATAAGAGATAGAAAAGGGAAGAAAAAATATTCTGGAAACAACTTAGTTACATGACATTAAGTAAAAAAAATACTTCATATAGACAAAGGAAATAATTAAAGTGTTTAATAACTCTGTCACCTCTTCAGCATTATCAACAATTCCCTCAATCACAAAGTCATCTGAAAACCTTATCCTCAAATAAATGCAAATGATTTATTTATGCCACTTACTCATTGTGGCCAAATGATTTATTTATGGCACTTACTCATTGCTCCAGTTGGAAACATTTCATAGCTTACACTCAGTAGACTGCACAGGAAGAAACTGCCCACCTTTCTCCTACAGAGCAGATGGTAGATTTGAACTACCTGCCTTTAGGATGGCAGCGTAACTTCTTACCCATTAGACCACTGGAAACCCCTTATATTTACGCTTCTTCTCGTTTGGTATCTGACCCTCCAGCAGGTTTTCAGAGGTAGTAAATTGCACAGGAGGAGACTGCTCATCTTTTTCTCACAGAATAGCTGGCAGATCAAAGCTGAGACCCTTTTAGTTGGCAGGACAACTCCTTACAACTAAGTCACCAGAGCTCCCTTTAATTTAGATGTTGTTGTCATCGTTATGTGTTGTCAAGTTGGAAGTGACCCACAATTGATCCTCAAGTAGGTTTTCAGAGGCAGTAAATAACACAGGAAGAGACTGCCCACCCTTCCGTGGAACAGCTGGTGGATTCAAGGTACATGCCTTTGCAACTGCAGCATAGCTTCCTACCACTAGGCTACTAGAGTTCCATTTTATTTATAAAGAGAACAAAACTTATTACTGTTTATTGAGGTTGTTGTTTTATGTCATGAAGTTGTTTGTGACTCATAGCGACTCTATGCACAATACCTCTGACTCTAACTCTATCCTAAGCCAATCTCACTGACTAGCACATCTACACATTACTACACATACCAGCACATTACTAGTTATTGTGTAAATCCACCTTGTCCAGTGTCTTCCTCTCCTGTGCTGTTCCTCAACCCTTCTAAGCATGAGATCCTTCTTCTGGCCACATGACCAAAGTATGTGAGGAGTATCAAAATCCTTGCCTCCAAGAAGCAGCTTGGCTTGACCCTTTCCAAAACAGACTTGTTAGTTCTCTTGGCAGTCCATGGTATGTTCAAAACTCTTCTCCAGCACCACAACTAAAAGGCATCAATTCTTCTAAGGACGCTCAGTCACTGTCCAGCTCTCTAATGCACTACAAGTAACTGTGAAGACCATGGCCTGGATCAGGTGCACTTTAGTCTCTAGACTGACATTCTTGCTCTTCAGCACTCTGGAGAGGTCCCTGAATAGATTTTCTAATGCAATTAATCTTCTGATTTCCTGACTGCTGGTGTCAAGAGTGTCAATAGTGGAACCAACAATCTCAATCTCTTCTTCCTCTGTCACAATCTTGTCAACTGACTTAGTGATGAGAACATTTGTTTTCTTCATGTTGAGCTTCAATTTATATTGCAAACTACAGTATTTGACCTCTACAGCAAGTTCTTCAGGTTCTTCTCAGTTTCAGCAAGCAAGGTTATGTCATCTGCATAACACAGGTGGTTGATGAATCTTCCTCTAATTCTGATGTCACATGTTGTTGTTATGTGCTGTTGAGTCACTTGCGACTCATAGCGACCCTATGTACAAGAGCCCTAAACCCTGCTCTATCCTGTGTCAACCCCACTGTCTCTGACATACCTACTACCATTACCCGAATCACTGAATCGATCCATCTCTCAGAGGGTCTTCCTCTCTTGCGCTGTTCCTCCACCCTCCCAAGTATGATGTCCCTCTCCAAGGACTAGTCCCTCCTTGCAACATGCCCAAAGCATGTCAGACTAAGTTTCAGCATACTTGCCTCCAAGGAGCAGCCCAGTGTCACTATCTCCAGGACAAACTTGTTTGTTCTCCTAGCAGTCTATGGTATATTTAACACTCTTTTACAGCACCACAGCTCAAAGGCATCAATTCTCTTTCTATCATCCCTAGTCACTGTCCAACTCTCTGACACATAGCACACAACTGAGAAGACTATGGAATGGATCAGGTGCACCTTAGTCTCCAGCTTGATGTCACTGCTCTTCAGTACTATGAAGAGGTCCCTGACAGCTGACTTTCCCAATGCAAGTCATCTCTTGATTTCCTGGCTATTGATACCGAGAGTGTTGATTGTGGAGCCAAGCAAACTAAAACTGTTAAAAATTTAAATCTCTTAACCATCTATAATGATGCTGTCAATTGGCCCAGTGGTGAAAATTTTTTGGGTTTTTTCCTTATGTTGAGCTTCAATCCATATTGAAGGCTGCAGTCCTTGACGTTCTGCAGCAAGCACTTCAGGTCCTCCGCAGTTTTAGCAGCCAAGGTTGTGTCATCTGTGTAACTCACGTTGTTGATGAATCTTCCTCCAATCCTGATGCTACATTCCTCCTTATACAGCCCAACATCTCAGATGATCTGTTCTGCATTCAGATTGAAAAGGTATGGAGACAGAACACATCTCTGGCGGACACCATTCCTGATTTTAAACCATGCAGTGTCTCCTTGCTCTGTTCTGACGATTGCCTCTTGGTTCAAGCATAGGTTTTCCATAAGCACAATCCAATGTTCTAGGATCCCCATTATTCTCAGAGTCAGCCACAGCTGCTTGTGATCCACACAGTCAAAAGCCTTTGCATAGTCAATGAAGCACAGATAGACATTCTTCTGGTATTCTTTGCTTTCTGCCAAGATCCATCTAACATTAGCTATAATATCCCTAGTACCACGACCGTTTCTAAACCCAGCCTGCACATCTGGCAGTTCTTTGTTGACATACTGCTCCAGTTGTTTCTGGATAATTTTCAGCAGAATCTTGCTTTCATGTGATATTAATAATATTGTTCAATACTTTCCACACTCTGTCGGGTCATCTTTCTTTGGACCGGAACAAATATCGGTCTCTTCCAGTCAGATGGCCAGCTGGCTGTCCTCCAGATTTCTTGGCACAACTTAGTGAGCACATGCACAGCAGCCTCTCTTTGTTGAAATATGTCAATTGGTATGCCATTAACTCCTGATGCCATATACCTTCTCATAAAGTCCAGCGTCTCAAAAGAGCTGTTTGGTATACAGATTAAAAAAGCATGGAGACAGGACACATGCCTGACACACTCCTTTCCTGATTTTGAACCATGCAGTGTTTCCTTGCTCTGTTCTGATAACTACCTCCTGGACCAAACATAGGTTTTGCATGAGTGCAATCAACTGTTCTTGTATTTCCATTCTTCTCAGGGTTAGCCACAACATAATGTGTTCTATATAGTCACATGCCTTTGCATAGTCAAACCTTCCCCTTTATCAGTGTAAACAGGAACATATGAGTATTTTTTGTCTATACAACAAATTAGATAAACTCATTGTTAACAAGCAAAGCTTTTGTTAACAAAAAAAAATTTGAAAGTATTCCTTTACACATGTACTAATATATATACTGCCTTTTTAGTATTACATTTTGGGGAGTGTTTCTTTTACACAAAAGAAGAATGTTTTATTCTTGTACAATGTGTTTTGTATAATAATTCATATATATTGAGTTTCATATAAGTAACTACCATTGCTCTATGCCTTTTACCACTCCATCTCTTCAAAGTCTCCACTGTGTCTTTCTCACTCCCAAGTGTCCACCAACCTCTGCCAACCCAGGGACTTCCCTGCCATTCCTCCCTACTTGCCATTCCTCCCTACTTGCCCTTCCTCCCTTGCACACGTCACGGTTACTTATCTTCCTACTTTCACATTAGTTTTTAGATGGTATTTTTAATTCTTTTACATTCTAGCTACACTTTCCTGTTAAGATTAAAAATTTTAATACAGCAAAATTGATATAATATTCCTTTGTCATGTCAAGTAGTCTTTTTTTTTTGTCAAGTAGTTTTTAAGGGCAATATTTTATTTTAAAACAAAAGTTGGTTGGCATTTACTGGGAGAATTTGGAGGGGGAAAAAATCTACCACAACAAAAGCAACTTCTTAGAATAATACGACAATTCCTTTCAAAGTGCTGGATGGAAGGCTAGACAGGCATCTGCTGATGCAGTCATAGTTCCTGGTGATCGTTTACTGGCTACATGTTCACTGCCTAGGAAATGTCATATAAGCATCTTCCTCATAGTTGGCACTGAGTTCCAACAAGGCAGTCACCTCTTAATTTTCCACAGATCACACTTGTTTGACTAGTCTTTCTGACTTTGACTTACTTGGAAAATATTGTCCTAACTTACCTCTAGGAAGAGAGAGAACTTGGTGCAGTTTGGTGACCGGATTCTCATTATTGCTTGCCTTCCAGGTGACAGAAAAGGGACTCTTTACAGACTTTGAAAACCCACTAGAGGGTCACCTATGAGTTGGTACCAACTCAAAAGCAACAAGTTAAGTTCCATATGAGTATTACTTAGTCCTCATATCTATATCATAAAGGAGATATCACTGTCACCAGTTGGTATGTGAAAAAAATAAGGATCTGAAAGTTAAAATGTATTACGGTTTGGAGAAAGACATCAGATTTGGAAGGGTAGAGAGGCAGCAAAAAGAGGAAGACCTCAACCAGGTGGGCTGACACAGTGAGTGTGGTAACGGTTTCAGTGTGTCAGAGACTGTAAGGATGACACAGGACAGGATTCAAATCTGTTGTTTATAGAGTCACTATGAGTCATACTCGATTCAAGCCACCTAACAACAAGCCCCTTATAGTCCAAAAGAGACAGAGGACAGAAATAACTCTCAAATCCTACTTGGTCTGACTCTTAGGTACAGCTTCATTAAATTACATCATAATCAGAGACTGCAAAAATGAAAGGGGACAAAGAACTGAAGAAGAAAAATATGTGATAAAAATACTCTTTTTTTCTCCTTCAAACAGCATGCTGGTGCTTAAATAACAACAACAACAAAAAAAGCAGCAGAGATTTAAATGAGACAATGAAATTAAAGATGCTA